CACTGCGCCTGCGAGGCGACGACCCACCCGCCCTGCCCGCTGCACGCGGCACGCCGCCACATGCGCCGGATGGACGCAGCCGGGTTGCTGGCGTCCTCGGCCCCTCTCTTCCCGGGCACGGGGGGGGGACCCGGTCCAAGGAGGACTCGGTGCACTTCCTGAACGCCGTCCTGCGGGCCGCCGGCCTGGCGACTACCTTCCTGGACCAGGCCGGGGCGGAGAAGAACATCTTCGGCGGCCACGCCTGCCGTGTGGCGGGGGCCACGGGAGTTCGCCCAGTCGGCTCTGGGCGCGCCGCCGGGCGATAGCCCGCGAGGACAGGGCGAGATGCAGCTGGCCATCTCTGATGCCCGCCCGGCCGCAGAAGACCGCCAGGACGACGGCCCACCTGCGGCACAGGAGGCTGTCCGAGCGCCCGGCATTTGAGTGTGTGCCCCGGCAAGGGCAGTGCCGGAGGGGGACGCCGGGCCCGACCATTACGTGTATCTCGCCAGGACGAGGCGAGTTCACAGACCGGACGCCCAGGAGGCCATGGCTGATAGGGCCGCCTGGAGGGCGGCAGGTTGCGGCTGGCCCTATGGCTGCCGCCAGTTCTTCCGGCTCTCGGCACCGCCGCCAGGCGCGGCGCTGTGCAAGCGCTGCTTCCAGGGCGAAGCCCACCGCCAGGAGCCTGAGTCTCCCAGCCCGGCCTCAGTTCATGGCTCCTCGTCGGGCGAAAGCGCAGACACGAGGAGGAGGCGAGAGGATGCCTCCTCCACGTCGGGTGGGCAATCGACCTCCGACTCCTGACTTGGGGCCTTGGCCCTGGACGCCAGGGGGGCGCGTCCGGAAAAGCCTAGATTTCGGCGCGCATGCCGGGGAGAGGTTTCTGCCAAGTCGTCTGTGCCCGGCGCCCAGCTTTCCCTGGCTCTCTCTTTTCGCCCGTCCCCCTGCCCCAGCCTGGCCCAGCCATGCCGGCCCACATCGAAGGGGGCTACTTCACGGTCCCGTTCGTCCGACCGCAAGGATTTTAACGTCCGCACCAGCCTCGCCGGGGCGGTCTACCACAACGACCGGTCGCCATGGGAGATGCTCTCCCTCTTCGGCCCGTCAGAGGTGGCGGCCAACTACCTCGTCATACGCCTGGACACCCTGCCGGAGTTTGCCGCCGTCGCCCGCGACGAGGACGAGTTCCTGGCGGTTTGCGTCAGGCCGTACCTCGAAGGCTGCCGCTCGCCTGGGACGGGCTCTGGTGCCCGGTCGAGACCGCCCGGCACGACAGCTGGGCCCTGACCAAGATGTGGCAGCATGCTCGCCGCCACATCGACTGGCTCCAGGAGGACTCCCAGGCCCGGGCGGAGGCCTGGGACAGGACTTGGGGCCTTGGCCGGATGCCCCGCCGCGCCTGGCACCCGGCGTCGCCAGGATCTACCACGAGCACACCGTCTCTAAGTCCTACACGCCACTCCTGCTAGGCGAGATTTTGGCCGCCAGGACCTGGACCTCCGGGGACGAGCTAAATCGCCTGGCGGTTCCCCAGAAGGAGGCCGGCTCCCTCCACATCGTCGGGGGAAGCCTCGTGGCCACGGACGACAAGAAGCCGTGGGAGCCCCGCGGCGTCATGTCCGTGTTGGACGGGCTAGAAGCGGTGCGCCTGGCTTGGATCCTGACCACGGTCGGCGACGAGGGCGACGTCAACGACTACATCNNCCTGGTGGGACCGCAAGGTCAGGGCCGGCACGGCCCACGTGGAGAACATAGTCGCCTACTGGACCTCAACGGCCACCACCTTGGCCATGGAACTTCGCCAGCGCCGCACCTTCAAGGAGGTCACCGCCGACATCATGGCGGACACCTCCTCCTGGTTGGAGGCCATGGCCACGCCGCCGCCTCGGCCCCCAAGAAGCCCGCCAGGCCACAGCCGTCTCCTAAGGCCGAGCCGGACCAAGGGGCGGACTGGGCCCCCCCTACCCCGAAGTGGCAGCGCACGGGGAAGGGCAAGAAGGGGCAGAAAGGCCAGAAGGGCGGCAAGAAGGGAAACAAGGGCGCCGGAAAGGGCCAAGAACGCCAACGTCGTCAGGATGAGCAGCGCCGCGACCAGGCCTGGGACGACTCCTGGTGGGCGTCGTCGTCCTGGAGCTCTGGCTACGACTGGGAATCGCCAGGCCGCGACCAGGGCGGCCGGGGCGAAAAGAAGCGCGCCTACGCCAACCAATGGCGTTAGGGACAGCGCGGGGCCGACGTCGCCTTGGCTGCGTCGGTACCCGACCCGGCGCCCGCCAAACGAGCCAAGCTAAGACCTAACCGCCCGGAGGGGCGGTCCATCATCGTCCTCTCCGCCTTCGATGGCATCGGCGCGTCCCACTGGCTGGTGGCTAAGGCCTTCGGGCGGCCCCTGCTCGCCGTGTCCTGGGAGGTCGACCGGGCATGCAAGGCGCTGGTGCAGAAGGCCATGCCCTGGGTTGAGCACAGGGGCGACCTCACCCGGGACTCGCTTGGGGACGTGGCCGACCTCATTATGGACGCCGGCCCCGACGCCCTCGCCTTGATCGTCT